GCACATCTTGGAGGAATAAAAGCACAGACATCTGGGCCAGATGGTGGCCTGTTCCAACCTGCCAGAGCAGAGGGTATGTCCCCTCTCCCTGGAGGGAGGCAGTGAGGCTACGCCCATTCATGAAGCCATCCAGTGGTCCCTTCCTCCACGCATCCACTCACAGCCCAGCACCAGACCCTCACTAGAAAGGGGTTCATGCTGCCACCTGCACAGGGCCCTGCTGGGGGCCTTCCCAGGGAGGCCAGGCGTGAGCGAGGTGTTGAGAGGTGAAGGCAGAGGGGGAGGGGTGTTCTGGGCAGAGAAGACAGCACCGGGTTCAGTGGGTGCAGGGGACAGCAGGTGCCCGCACAGCTTGAGTGAGGGGTGCATGTGCAGGAGAGAGGGCGACCTGCGGCTGAGAGAGCAAGCTGGTCCCCCCCCTCTGACCTCGAGCCTTCCCGCCTGATGACAGCACCCTCAGTGCGATTCCCATTTGCTCTCTGCCTGGGAGGAAGCTCTGCCTACAGACTCCCATTACTGCCTCTGCTTTTCTGTCTGCAGCTCTCTCCTCTGGGTGTCTGTCTCTCTGCCCCTTTGCTCTCCGAACCTCTCTCTGTCTCTCCCCATCCACGGGAGTGTTTGCCACTCCTGTGCATCGTGATGCCCACGCAGTCATCACCTTCATAAAGCTCCCCCGCTCAGAACTTGGTGCCAGTCTGTGCATCCCCTGTTGCCTCCCCAAGGTGCCCAGTTCAACACAGCCAGGCGCTTAGCAGTAACACTCCCTGACTCACCACACACTGTCCACGCTTGGGTGCCGCGCTGACTCCCCCAGCTGTCTTTTCCTCCTGGAGATGGGCAGGGCCTCACCAAGAACGGGTGGATTTGGGGCTGTCCTGGAGAAGAGGGATGGAGTGTGACAGATCAGCCTCACTCCATCCCTACCTTTTCTACAGGCACCTACTCTCCTCCTCTATTCAGATGGCGCCCCCTGGTGACTGTGGCTGGCATCCTGGCAAGTGTCCAGGCCATGAGCGGGGCTCTATCCCTCAGTGCTCCCCAGCCTGAGGGTCTGCCCCTCTGGCTCCTTATCTCCTACCCCTAATCCCTGTCACCTTCAGGCTTCACTACACTGGCATCACTTGGTCTCTGTAGTCACCTCTGGAAGCTCTTCCTACTGATTTGTGCAAATCCCTCTCTGGATCATCCAAGTCTCTGTATAGATGTCATCCCTCAGACCCTCCAATCTAGTGTGCCCCCTGCTACACGGTAACCTCCCTGAGGGCAGAGAGCCTATCTGACGCAGGATATACTCAGCCCTCCCTGTGGAAGAGCTCAGATGGGCCAGTGCGTACAGGGCCCAGGGCACCCATGAGCAATAATAGGTAAGGAGTGAGGGATGGGTGCAGAGACTGCTGGGCAAGCAGCTGGCTTCCAAGCATCCAGCCTTGCTGAGTCCCTCTTCAAAACTGTCATTTAATGCCACCACCCTGCAGTGTGGACTACCCAGTGGAAGTGTGGGCCTTGCCTGGTAGCCGGGTGGGTGGACACACAGCCTGCAGAATCAAACATGGGTACTTCTTGGCTGCACCTGAGGTGAGACTCTGCGGCTTGGGCCTGACAAGCCCTCTTTCCCAGTGGCTGGCCCCGGGCCAGCAGCGACATCCCGCTGTGAAATGCCCATTGTCTGCTGAGGCCCAGGGAGAGGGAATGGCTGCGGCTTGAGAGCTGACATCAGGAAGCTGAGTAGGGGCTGCTCTGTCTGGTCCTCTTCCCCTTCCCCACCAGGGCAGCCAGACACCTGTGATTCTGGGCCCGCTAGGTAGCCTGTGCGCTATTGCTTTGCTCCATGTGGCGGCAGCTGCATTTACTACAGGTGTGGTGTGTACCTCAGGATCCCCAAGGATTAATGGGGGGGGGCAGACAGACTGGAGGTGGCACTGGCAAGGGGTGGGGGGACAGAGGCCTCGGCATTAGAGGTGTGGGTGGGCCTGTGCGTGTGAGACAGCCAGCGTGTATTCACGCCCGTGAGTTGTGCACTTGTACAACACCCAGTGCTGGTGCAAACTCGGGTGAGTGGGTGCACTTGGGTCTCTGCGTGGGTGACACCTGTAACACTGGATGTGTACGTGTACCTCTGTAGTCACGTGTTGCTGCGTGTGAGCCCAGAGACCAGAGGGGCTCGTTTCTGGCTCTGAATGTCCTCCGTTCCTTCCTAGGGCATGTGCCTGAGTGGGCTGGTCAGGGCTGAATGATTTTGAGTCTGAAGATCCCAAAATAGCTCTGGTAGCCTGCACTCCCCTCCCCCTACTGGGCCTGGGGCCTCAATGGCCCTTTGTCTCTCTGAAGGCGGAGAGCCCCTGTGGGGGGCTCAGACTCTGCCTGGGGCCAGGAAGGACAGGCTGCCTGCCGCTTCCCCTTCCCCCAAGCCAGGCCCTAAGCCCCACCACTGTGTTGGCCCGGAGGTCAGTCTCTCCCCTTGAAATGAGCTTCTGAAGGCCAGCCCACTTGCCCGCGGAGACGATCCCTTGCCGGCCCCCACCCCACCCCTGGTTTACACTGATCCCTGGACTTACCCTGGTTCCTTTATGCCCCTCCTCCTGAAGAGCCCACCCATGACGTATGGCAGCAGCAAACAGGGTCCACTGTGGGCCTGTGAACATTGCTTGGGGTTTGGCCGCAGGACTGTCCGTGGGCCCTTTTTGAGCCTAGGGACGGATGCAGACCCGGGGCGAGCTGCAGTGACACGTAGGTGGTAAATGGGAAACTGTGTGAATTGCCTGGGCTCACCACACCGAGTCTTTGGGCTCTGAGCCAAGCCCTGCCTTGAGAAGATAAAAAGTCAGACCCTGCCCTGGGTGCTCCCAGTCCCGGGTGGCGTCCTGGGGAGCTGCTGGCACCATCAGTGTGATGTGAGCGGTGCCAAGGTCCAGTGAGGTGAGGTAGAGGGTGGGAGGCATCCCTGAGGTGAAGGTGAGGCTGACCAGGGGCTGGGGTCTCCAGGTGGTCTGATGGATTGCTGCTCTGGGTCCAATGCACTGTGGGGTGAGGAAACCACTTTGTTGGCTTTTCCTGCAAAGTTTCATGAGGACTCAGGTTTCAGCCTCTGCTGTTGGGGATGGGGGACCCTGACAGGATGGGCTCACCCTGTGGCACTGGTGTGCCTGGCCCCTGGATGGAAAGGAGTCAAAGGAGATGGACCTCATAGAACTGGTCGCCAGCTGCCGGGTGCCGGTGGCTGCTCTTGCTGAGGAAGTGGCGGGGGGGGGGGGCAGAAGGGGGGGGGGGGGGGGGGGGTGGCTGCTCTTGCTGAGGAAGTGGCGGGGGGGGGGGGGGGAAGGGGGGGGGGGGGGGGGGGAGGAGCCTACCTGACGGGGGGGGGGGGTCTGTGGGGTTGGCTAAGAACATGTTTGTGACAAGGATGAATACATTCAAGGTGGAGGGACCTTCGGGAGAGTCCAGTTGGAGGCTTGGTGGGAGCTGAGCACTGTGACGACTGTTGGGGCCCTGGGGGGGCGTCACTTAGGATGAGTGGGGACTTGGCACTGGGAAGGGCCTGTTCCAGGGCAGAGGAGGAAGGGGGTGTGGCCAGTGCTTGTTTTCAGAGGTAGATGGAGATGGAGATGAGACCTAAGAGGGACCAGGGGTGGCGCTGGCGTCTGTGGCAATAGCAGCTTGGAGAAAAGGGGGACCTGCTGACCACACATACAGATAACCCTGTGGAGCCCTCAGTGTGTGTGTGAGTGTAGGTCTGAGCGAGGGGGCAGGTGTGTGAGTCTGTGGAGTGTGGATGGGCGTGACTGAGCACGTGGTGGGGAGGGGGAAGCAGTGGTGCAATTAACATCTTTTCCGCTGGGATAGGGACCGGAAGGGGCCCTGGGATGGGGCTGGGGGGGAGGCCTGATCTGCCTTGGAGGCCAAGCTTCCTCTCCCTCTCTCCTCAGAAAGGGCTGGCCGGCTCCAAGACGGGGACAGACGGAGGTCGCTGCAGAGACTCAAGGGCCTGTGACCAGGTCCGGGCTGGCAGCGGCCAGCGGTGGTGGGTGTGGCGGTGGGCGCCTCCCCCAGAGGACTGTGAAGGGATGGGACTGCAGGGCAGCGAAGGTGTTGGTCACTCGGGTGGCCACCAACGGCATCCTGGCCGCGGAGGGCAGGACGCGGCTGCTGTGGATGGTGGGGACGGTGGGCGGGACCTAGGGGAGGGGCGCCCTCTGGAGGCGTACGTGGGCAGGCCTGACTCTGGGAGGGACCAGACGCCCCTGGCCCGGCTGTGACGTCACGGCCCCGCCGTTCCCCGCGGGCCTCCGGGGGGCGCTCCAGGCTCGCGGGACCGCGCCGGGCGCCCCGCGCTATTTGCATAACACTTCTTCACAAGGAGCTCATTTGCATGTTTCTCTCTCCGCGGGGAGGGGAGGTGCGGGGGCTACGCGGGTGGTCTGAGGTGTTGCCACCAGTTCCCGGGAGGGTCGCCCTATCTTGCCTCCACCCTCCGTGTTGGGCCCCGCACACGCCCCACCTGTGTGTGTACCTGGGGACCCCCCCCCCACAAGCGCAGGGGCGGGGCCAGAAGCACACAGGGGCACGCGCACCCCGCAGCGTGGAGGGGGGTCCCGCGTGCGGGCCTGAGCCCCGCTGCTGGACTTGGAGCGCCTCCGCCTAGCCCTCCGCCGCCTACGCACGCAGTGTGGCCCCGCGTAGCCGGGTGGGCTCGGTCGGGGCCCCGCCCCGCCCCTGACCCCGCCCCACACCTTCTGGCTCCGCCCACCCCGTCCCGAGCCCCCCGGCCGGAGTCCCCCCCCGGCCCCGGCACCTGCCTCCTCTCCTCCCGCCCCTGTTCCTCCGCCGGCCCGGGCTCCCACCTCACCCCCACCCCGCGCCCCTGCGTCCTCGTTTGTGCCGCCGCCCTCCCGTCCCCTTCCGCGCGAGCCACGACTCCCCACGGACACCGGGGTCCCCGGAGGCGTCTTCCTTTGTCTCCGCTCCCCGCCCTCCCGCCGCGGCGCCCCTCGCCCCTCACTCACCGGCCCAGCCCCGGCGAGGGCGGCGGGAGCCGAGGCGCGGCCCTCCGCGGACCCGCTCTTTATTCTCTCCCTCCCGACGCGCGCGCGCCGCTCCCGCCGCCGCCTGCGCCGCTCCCGCCTCTGCCGGGGACCGAGCCCTCCGCGCCCGGCGCCGCCCCCGGCCGAGGGCCCCTCGCCGCCAGCAGCCCTCGGACTGGCCCTTCCGGGGTCGCCGGGCGGGCGGGACCGGGGGCTCCCAGGGGCCCGGAAAGACCGAGCACGCCGGAGAGCTGCGGGCACCTACGGCTACCGGGCTGTGGACACGGGGTGGCCGCTGGCTGGCCCTCAGTTTCTCCTCCGCCTCCCCCTGAGCCCACATTTGGGATTCTACTCCAGGAGAATTTTGCACACCTCCCATTATGAGCCTCGAGGGCTGCGGAGGGGTCCTGGCTCTCTCTGGGCTGTGACCGGAGCTGAACTTTGACAACAGAGCTGCTGTCAGCTGCCCCGGGGGTCCCAGAATGGGGGGAGTTGCCCCGAAGAGGCCCAAGGGCGCCCCTTGAGCAACCCCCACACCCTGAGAGTGGGAGCTGAGGAGCCCAGGGCCATGCCTCCACTACCTCTGGAGAGGGACCCGCGGCAGCAGCGCGGGGTCTCCCTGCTGGTGCGATATTTTATGATCCCCTGCAACGTCTGCCTGATCCTGCTGGCCACGTCTACGCTGGGCTTCGCGGTGCTGCTTTTCCTCAACAACTGTACGTGGCTGTGGGCATGGCCACCCCTGCCCCCTCCGGGCAGGCTCGTGTGACCCTCCTTCTTCGGGCTGAGTTCCCCGTCTCGCTACCAAAGACTGGGGGAGAGGCAGGGTCACATAGAGGCTACCAGCTGAGAGGCCACTCCTATGGGCCACCTGCGTCTTCCGGGGACAGGATGGGGCATTCTCTGGATCCCCGGGCCACTCAAAGCTTGACCTTGGGTTAATGGGGAGCTGATCCTCACCCTGAGCTGCAGAGACAACTTTCTCTGGGACTTGGGGAGGAAGGGAGCAGCTAAATACGCTGGAAGTGGGGGCTTTGGTTCTGGGGAATAGGGGCCCACTGGCAGGTGTCTGGGCCTCCAGCTGGAGAGGCAGGAAGAAGCAAGGGCCTCTGCTGTTGTCTACCCACAGGCTTTGGCCAGTCCTCAGGGCTCAGGATGGGGCCAGGGAAGGGATGGGGGTGGGCACAGGTATAGAGGGCAGGTGTGGTGTGTGTGCAGGGGTGGCCCCTCCAGACGGGGCAAAGGGACAGGCTATGGAAAAGCCTGCTCAGTGAGACCTAACTCAGACATCTGGTTTTTTTCCAGACAAACCTGGGACCCACTTCACACCAGCACCTCCAGTGCCTCCGGACGGTGAGTGAGTGGGGGCCTCAGATGGTGACAGGCTGCACTTGAGACACTGTGTCTAGAGGGACAGTGGCACTCTCGGGGGTCAGGAGTCGTTCTTAGGGTGTCCACACCAGACATGGTGTATCTGGAACAGAGATGAGGCTGGATGAGGGAGCCTGGGTCCTTCCTGGGATGTTGACGGTGGTGGACAGGTGGAGGGCGTGTCAGGTCTGGGGTCCTTGGGCCTGGCCCAGTCCTGGCCAAGGGCCATTGCACACAAGCATGTCTCTAACTTCTGTGGGCCTTGGACTTCTTGGCTGAAAAAATTGGGAATAAGTCCTGGGGCCTGCAAGCTATAAGATAAGTCAGACCACATGTTCAGGGCAGGGAGTGGGCGTGCAGGACCAGAGACTGAGGAGGGACTGGAGGGCCTGTCCCTGAGACTGAACAGCCTGGCTTGGCCTTCTTGACTCACTTTAAGGGATGGGACCTGGCCCTCCTGAGAGACCTGCTAGTCTGTGGGCCGCTGTAATTAAGCTAATGCGAGAGGGGGAGGGGAGGAAGCTGCTAGCACCAGGTGAAAGGGCGTCTTGGGGTTCTCTCCTTGGGTGGGGACATGGAGAGCTACCAGGTTTGCTGTCAGTACCTGGGCCCCCTGCTGGGCAGGCACCAGGCCAAGTTCATAAGAAGTCACACGTACAAGGGTATCCGTATATGGGATGGGCTGTGGGAGGAGACATGTCTGTGGTGGGCTGGGGGCTTGGGACTCGACTGAGTCTCCCACAGGCTGTGGGAAAGACCTCTGGAACTGTCTGGATTTAAAGACCGGGCTTGGGTCAGATGGCGCCTTCCCCTTTCCCAGTGTCCTCAGCCTCTTTCCCTGAAGCCTTAAAAGCATGGGGCATCTCTGCTTTACACACATACTGGTCTCCCCTGCAGCTGCAGATGTGGGCCCCCACACCCACTCTCTGATCCTGCTGCACACTTGGGGACAGCTACGTGCCATGGCCATCATCATCCCCCCCTAGGCAGACACACTGCGTATTTGTGGCCATGGGCAGGGCTTGGGGCATCCAGTCCATCCCCCACCGAGACCAGGAGAGGAGTTAAATATACCCACTCCAACCGGTGGTTATAAAAAGCCACTGCCGCCTCCAGCATGGCACGCATGAGGGAGCCCTTGGGCACGCAGGGAGCAAGGCTGTGCAGGGAAGCTGAGTGGCCAGGGAAAGGCTCCTGGAGGAGTCCAGCCTGGGGCGGATGTGGCAGGGCGTGTGGCTCATGGGTATGGAGGTGCTCTGTCTGCATTTATGAGGGCAAGTTTATGGGGTGATTAAAGGCTGATACAGACAGGACTTGAGTGGTGCCTGTCACGCACAGGGCATGGCTGTTGTGATGAGCTGAGCCAGCACGTGTGTGCACGTATGTGTACTTGTGCATGTTTTATGTCCACTCAAGACACTTGTCTCGAGCCTCTCTGATTCCCTAGTCCTGGGGGGCAGGGGCAGCAGACGTGTAAACGGGCAGCTGTAAAGCTGGCATCAGGGCGACACACCAGAGCAGCCCTCACTGAGCCTGACAGCCTGAGCGTGCGTCTGGGGAGGGAAACCATTTCAGCCTGGACAGGAGATGAGTGCCGTGTACTCAGGCTTCTGCTTTGCCCGCATCACCTCACCAAATGCTGCAGCTGCCCTGGGAGCCATTGAGATCTACCCCCACTTTGCAGCCAGGAGACTGCCCCTGGTGGACCACCACTCTGGCAGTGGTGTGGGCTCCCCAAAGTGGTGGGAGGGGGAAGGGCTGGGACTGGACCTCCCTCTCTGACTTGGGAGTCAGTGCGGGGGCCTCAGCTTGATGGGCCTCAGAGGCACCCTGGCCCCTCACCTTCCAGTCCATCACCCTTCCTGCACCTGAACCCATGCCCTAGCCTTGCTTGTCACGAGTTAGCTGCCATTGTCGACATCGCCATCCCCCGCTAGTTGCTGTCTCGGGGGGACACAGCAGAGCCCTGGGCCGTGGAGGGAGGGTGCAGGTCTTGGCGCGCAAGGAACAGGGGTAGATGTCTTTGTCCAAAGGGAGGGAGCCTTGGGAGGGGTCTGGCCGCACTGAGGATGATCAGAGGGAGAGAAGTCTCAAACCAGGGGCACAGATCCACAGCAGCCAGCCCAGGAACCAGAGGTGGAATGAGGTGATGACCAAGTCTCTGGCCATGGGGCCCAGTACCCTGGAAGAGACCTTGGTCAGTAGGTCCAGTTGAAGCCACACAGAACAGTCAGCTGGGTACCAGCAAGTGCCTGTGGGTTTGGCCTGGGGGGGTCCCAGGGGCCTTGGGCAAGGAGGATGGAGGAAGGCGCTAAGGGGGGAGTAGGGAGAGATGGAGGGAGACTGTGTGTAGAGGGCTTACGGGCAGACAGGGTTTGAGTTTGGTTTGAGATGGGACACGGGGGAGGCCCATGTAATAATGACAGTTCTTGTTACCGTCATTACCGTGGCCGCTGATGCTGCACATAGAGCTGCCTGCTGGGCGCCCTCTGCACGTCTGCAGATATCGGCCCCACGGTAACCCTGGGAGGCACGTCCCCTTGTCCCCACTCACAGAAGGAGACACTGAAGCATGGCAAGGTGATAACTTGCCCACGGTCACCAGGCGGGGTGAGTGCAGAGCTGGAGGCGGCCTGGCTCTGGGCCCTGGGGGAGCAGGGGCGCAGGCGAGGTGGGGAGGAGGAAGACAGGAGTGTCGGTGGGAGGGGAGAACCGGTGGCTGCAGGGACTTCGGGCTGGGGTGTCCCTGCCGGCCCCACCCTTGCCTCAGGCCTCTGTTCGCTCAGCCCCTGTGGGGTGGGGGTAGGGATGCCCAGTCAGACTCGGAGGAGCCTCGGGTGGGCTGTTGCTGTGGCAACAGCTGGCTGCAGCTCCCTGTGGGCCCCTGCCCTCCCCAGAATGGAGGTGCTTCCCCCTCCTGCCCCACTTCCTGAGCCTGCTGGAAGGTGATGGGGGGAGCCACCCCACCCTCTGCACCATAACTTATTAATGATAATTAGAACCAGTTAAACATTTATTAGGTCTAAACAGCTGCAGCCAATAATGGGCCTGCACACGTGTGGGTGTGCAGTCCCGGTGGGGGTCCGGTGGGGTCCTCAGCAGTCAGCCTGCCTGGCTCTTTTCAGGAGGAGCGATGTGCGACGGCTCTGGGTTTAAATGTCCAAGAGCCTTTTTCATCCGCCTCATCCAAGCCTGTGGCCCCTCGGCCGCTTGCTCGGGCTGCTGCAGAGAGCAGGCCTGCAGAGCCCTGTGCTCAGCCTCCGCAGGGCTCTGTGCACAGGGTGAGGCGGGCCAGCAGGACTGGGGGGGCCCGAGCAGGGGGAGGGCATGCACTGAGGTGGGGGCTCCAGAGGGCAGATGGGGGAGAGGGAGGTGTGTGAGCGCCCGAGAGGCCTCAGAGAGAGATCCCCCGTCAGCTTTCAGCTGGGGGCTTGGGAGGGAGGGAGGGCCAGGAACCTTGGAGAAAGCCATAGCGAGGAAGCCACAGCTGGGGGTCCTGAGAGAGGTGTGGGAGGTGAGGGGGTTGGGAAGAGAAAACCCCGAGGGGTAGAGCTTACGGGGAAAAGATGTGGGACGAAAGGGAAACATGCGGGGAAAGCCTGGGGTCAGGGCCCCAGGTTCCTGGCCAAGGAGGGGCCCAGAGCCAGAGTGTGGAGCATGTGGCTGAACCCCAG